AAGCCATTTATAAACACCATGTATCGTTGGCAATCCCCAGACCTCAGCAACTTGAGCACGTTTTCGTCATCAGCAGTGAGATGGCGCGAGACGTCCACGTTGGGCGCACTCAGTCATAAAGTCATTGCCTCACACGTTGCTATGTGTGTGCGCTTCCATATGGCGTGGTCAAGGTGTGTATAGATGATATCTGACGTGGTCGCTCACTAGCACGCACGCTTATCTTGGGATTCGGGCGCTTTGTACTGACATGCTTCCAGCCCAAGTTTGCTTTTAAGTTACAGTGATTAAAGAAAAAAGCACGAAGGTCACTTCGCTCGCTGCTGCGACCATGTTTACAAAAGGAGCACGCTGCTCACACACGAAGAAGTAATGATTGTGACCGTTAGCACTCGTCTTGTGTGTTCATTTCGTGTGTCTTTCTTTCTCCTTCGTGGAGCCTTCGAAGGAATGGACTCCACTAGGTGCGGTCGAACCAAACCAAACACCACATTTATTGAATTACTTTTGCATCGATAATAACATCAGCAAAATAAAAGACATCACTAATTATTAACACACTAGAACACAACCTTATGCAATATTTCAATACACTCAATCACCATAACAAATAAAGTAACGCAAAGGTGGCATCGCCAATGCTCTATTCACTACGAGGACCCATGGGCGACGACCTGCAGTGCCGTCTCCGTGGACCTACCATGAAAGACAACCGCTCGCGCAAGCCGCCGCTCGCTAAAGAAAACCGCTCATATCTTATGTGCTGTCAGCCAGCCTTGCCGCCAGGCGTGGCTGCTGGCGCTGCCGCACTAACCATGATATTGACGATAGTTACAAACGCTCACGACCACAACGCCACCAACCGCTCGATAGTTGTGAACTTTAAATGCGGCCTTTGCGCGAAACACGTGTGCTCCACAAGGCGCAACTAACTTTACAGGGGCTGTCAGCACCCCCACATTCTCCCAACCTTAATTCAAACCAAATCCCTAAGAAAAAAAAAAAACATTAAAGAAATCAGCTACACAAGCTCTAACAAAAGCTGACAAATGTACCTAAAACAGTGGAACCCCGCTGTAACGTTCCTCACTGCTGCATTTTTTTGTCTCTTATGGTGCTTTCATCAGTCCCCGCGCAACTCTTATAGAATACCATGTATTGCAAACCCCGCTGTTACGTTGCGACTGTGAGAACATTCCCACATGTTGCGTCGCAACCTAGTCCGCCGAACCCGTCCGAGCACTTCCATTTTGGTTTGTTTGACAGTCTTGGCCTGGCTTGGCTACGGAACAGGCTGCAAGAAGCCACAGACGAGTTGGAGAGGCTGTCTCTAGATGACCATTTGTGAAAAGTGCTATCAGCATCACTGTGCTTACAACGGAAGTTTCACTGCGGAGTGCCGGAAGTAGTTGACAGTCCTACCGCCGCACGCCGCACGTTGTGACTCGCCTTCAGTCACTGCTGTGTGCGCTAAACCTGTTACCAATGAACTTGTCAATGCAATCTTTGTCAAGCCTTCATGATGTGTCATAAATCGAAAGCGCTTTCCCTTGAGGAAGCTGAACGAACTTAAAGCAATCGACAAGCAACCAGCGCGTCGTGGCCCTGGACTACCGTCGTGGCCATCGTGGCCCTGGACTACTCTCGCAGGTACGCCGCATCCCGAAGCGACGCTGAAAGCAATGTGGCCTTCCAGATTAGTGTTGAGAAATGGGTGGTGCTTAATAGCAAGCGAATGAAGCAGCAGTCAGCTCTAAATAAATAAATAAATTAATAATAAATTGTTTGTAGTCAAAGTGCCTGTGCTCTCATTCATTTTCGGAGCTCTTCTCACTCTTGCGTTTTCTCGGCTGTTACGTTTTTCCTACCCAGTCCGCTGAAAAATGAATGAACGGGGTTTCGCTATAATTTTCATGCACCACGACACTGCTGCCTCTAGACACTGCTGCACTGTTCGGCTCGACGACGTCACCTCAATACCAGTCCCACAACATCAATGCGCCAACGGCATTGTTTCCGTTGGCGCGAGAAAGCGTCACTCGCGCCGATGCGTTTTCTGGTTGCGACCAGCACTCACAAGAGCAACAGACTGCAGGCAGTTGTAGAGGTCCCAGGCATGTCCATCACCTGATCTTACAATCGCATTCCTGGCCAGTGGTGCCAACGATGTGCAGTAAACAGCCAGCTGTGGGTTACATCTCCCCCGCTGCATGCACTCAAGACACTCAACATAGTAATGCATGAGGCCAAAAGGGAAGGGGCTTCAGGCGCAATGCCCATGTGGCACGATGGTCAGTACTGCTAGAAAATACATCGGAGGTCCCAACCTAGACACCCAGTTCAAACAAAAAAGGGTCACTTTTCTTAACTCGTACATCGCAAGATAAAATGGGTTAGCAAAGGGCAACACCTCAGTGCCACGATCCACCTAAATGTGTCACGTGAGACAGGCGGCTGCACAGAGCTTCAGGCCTAATAAGTTGCTCGATAGCAGCCGGCATCAACCCAGCACCTAGTATAGGCGCAGACGAAGCAGCTGCAACGAGACCTCAGCTCTGTAAGGGGGCCCTACTCGCTTACCGAGCGATCGGCGCCCACGATCCTGCATGTTGTCACGACCCCTTGGTGTCGAGCTGCAAGACATGACGGCAACAACGCCAGACTCCCTGGACTAAAGAGATAGAAGATGCTATTTACAGAAATTCGGACCACCTATGAGGCTTCCGTACTTACTCGCTTCAGGCTTTGCCTACGATCCACGTGCTCTAAGCCTTGCTCACCCCAGGAATACGGACCACGTGGCTCTGGTACGAACAACTCAACATCGTTAAAAAAAAGCACTTGCGAGCAGCAAAAGAAGCTTACCATGCCGACAAGTTCAGACATGCCACCGCAACCAATCTCCTTGCTCTCACCAAAGCACACCGCCGACACTAGCAATGGAGGTCCCCCCTAGGCCTACTCAACACGGCTAATAAAAGGCCGTTCTGAACCATGAATACTCATCCAATGCTCCAAGAGCTCCACGCTAAGCAGCTGGTGTGTGCTCTCGAAATGAGAACGCCACTATCGGAGAGAGCGGACACCAGTAGATGCGTTCAGAACAAACCAAACACCAGATTTATTGAATTACATTTATATAGAAGATGTCGTCAGCCGAATTGAATACATCACTTATATGTTAAAACACAACATTATACAATATTCCAACACACTCAATCAACATAACAAACAAGGTAAAGCGAAGGCGGCATCGCCAACGCTTGACTGACCACAGGGACCTACGGGCGACGATTTATCATGCCGTCTCCATGGACCCACCACGAAAGACAACTGCTCACACCATTTGCCACAGGCCAAAAAGGACCGCTCATATCTCATGGGCCACCAGCCAGCCTCACCGCCAGGCGCCACTGCTGGTGCTACCGCGCTGACCATGATGATGATGATAATGGTGACAAATGCTCGCGAGCACAACACCACCTACCGCTCTATGGTCACAAACCCTAAATGCGGCCTATGTGTGAAGCACGCGAAACATGCGAAAAGTGCAAATGACTTTACAGGGGGTGCTAGCACCCCCACAATTTGAGCAGCGTGCTTCAAGTGTCAAGCTATGACATTTGGTTCTCCGTGCTTGTCCTGTGTATGTTTATTTCATGTGTGCTTTCTGCTTGAGGTGTGCACTAACAAGTATTGAGCAGCTTGCTCTTCTTCATTGCTTCAGCTTTGATTCCTTTGCCCTTGTGGCGGAACAATGCACAATAAATGCTCAACTATTTCTGTGAAGACATATTTCACTTTCGTGTTATACAGATTCCTAAAAGAAGCGATCATCTTTCATTATGAGAGCATAGGAATCCTTGTAAGTTTGAGCATGTGGCTTTGGTGAACTGCTCATGTAAATGCACGGGCAAGCAGCCAGGAAACAATTTCTAGGGGACTGTAGATAATCACCCCTTTTTAGCTTTAGTAGCCACGTTGTGCTTTTTAAAAGCGATTTGCACTTACTTCAAGTTCAAGTACAAGCTTTATTTATTTTGTAGTGAAAGCAGAGAAACTAAACTTGTTAAAGCAACTAAAAGCAAAAAAGCGAAAATATGATATTTTCGAAAGAACATGTTTTTTGAGTCGCATCTCCTCTGCAATACCTTTCAAAGTAATCGTCGAATAGATTCATGAAAGCTTTGAAACTTAAAATCTTTACGCACTTCTAGTTTCAGCACTATTTTAAAGGATAATGGCGCATGAAAATGCCATAAAAATTGCCTCAGAGGTAGGCGCAAATACCAAGCCAATTATACAAAGTATCGTTATCCTTAGTTGAATTTATTGACTGTAAGAAATTCCTTATTGCAGCTATTTCAAGTTGTTTACTATGTTTGTGATTTTCGTCCTCAAATTTCCTTCCACATCAAAGAAATAAAATACTCCTAAGATTGTAATTAACTAGTTCTTTGTTGGGAATAAATATCGTGACCAACAAGTGTATTAAGTTTTTACTAGGTGCATTCAAAGTTCAGAAATTGCTAAATTTCTGAAAAGATATGCTTGGTGGCTGAAACTTGTATGCATGCTGTTTGAGGAAGCAAATCTTTTTGTTCTCATAGTAAGATAAGAATTTTTGTTCTGCGTACAATACTTCAACCTAAATTCTGGAATGGTAACCAGGACCTTGTGTTTGTTCTTATCTCGGCACACCCACTTCAGATGTTTTTTTTCCACATGAGGGAAAGCTGACTTTTAGAACAATTGTACTCTCCTAGAAGCTGATTCAATCATGAATAGCTGTTTTTGTTACTTGAAGGAGGAGAAAGATGTTATAAATTGCAGGCAGATCTCGCCTTGCCAGATATGCAAGCCATGTTTGTACCACAGTTCATTCTCATTGTACTTTTACTCTGTTGAGGTAGTCTGATGAATAATTCAATGTAAACGGGCTCAGTGTAGTTGTTGGGTTTCACTGAAACAGGCATGCTTCACAATGGTCACTTTTGCAGACACCATTGAGGGCAACATTGAGAGCACCCAGCATAACACTGGGCAAGCTGTGGAGCAACTGCGTAGCGCAGCCAACTATCAGGTAATTTCCTGATAACACTTTTGTCACATTGCCTCCCGCACTTCTGAATGTTTTGCTATCAGGATTCTTTTCTTACGCATGTCTTACTTCTGATACTACAAAATATTCGCAACCCAGTAAAGTTTTTGCGGTTCAAGCTGCAGACTTGCTCCAAAGCAATGATAAAGCAGAGCATCTCCCAAAGCGTTTGTATGCTGCATGTTGAAATTGGGGAATATTAAAGTTGGGAACTTCTAGTCTGTCTCTAAGGGTGCATATAAAGTTGTGCCAACCTGGTCCATACCTTAGGCTACTGTATTAACATAATCATAAGTCAACTTGGCCGAATGCTTTAAAAACGAACTGCAAGGGAAAATAAACAAAATAAAATAATAGGATCCTGAGCACTATTTTATATAAAAAAGTAATTTACGACTCTCCCCCCCCCCCCCCCCCGAAAAAAACTGTTGAATTTCGATATGCAAGTTCATTTCACAACAATGCTTAAGAGCTGGGCAGAACAACTAGTTTCCCGAAATATCCAGTTGCTTAGTGGTTTTATTAAATATTTTGTCAATGTACCACCAAACCATAATGCTATGAAATGGGAAAAAAATTGTTCATTAAGAAAAATATAGGTGTAATGAATATTCTAGTTGACAATGAAAGGGATACATAGAGGGAAACAGGCAATGTAATGCATAAGACAGACATCTTATGTATTAATAAACTTCCATACTTGGTGACCAGAGAAGGGAAATACAGTCAAGGACAACGAAGACGTAGGCAATGTCATGAGATCAGTATTTATTTCGCGGAAGTAATGTGCACTCAACAGACACAGGAGCAGCTGTTCAGTGAAGCATTGTCTTGTATGCCTAACTTGTAAAGCTTGTGTTGTGCCATATTACACATTGAAATTGCGAAAAAGAAGCTCTCACGACTGAGTAGGTGTTTTTTCTGAACACAATGCTGCTTTGAACGCTCTTCATCATCACTAGTGGACAAGTGGATGCAGCATTCAATAAGTGCTCTCTGAAGATCTTCCTTTTGTGAGTGTTCAACTATAATAATCTTTTGATTGCTTTTAGGCTAAAGGCAACGTTTTCTGCTTTTAATTTTTGCTCAATGTTTGAGCACATTTAGTTTCGCTACAAAAAATTCACTGCATTGCAAACGTTAAGAAAAATGAGAAATGGGTTGTTTTGGAATGTGAAAAAAAAAAAAAAAACTGGGAAGCTCGCATTAGTGATGCAACTTTTGACTAAAAGAAGCGCTTCTGGCCAACATGGATTATTAACATATTAATTAGTATGCTGATAATTAGTGAGGTCTTAATGGATATGCGTGTACTAAGCCTGGTCATAATTACAGGGTTCTCTCTCTCAGTGCTTCTTTCTTTCTCCTCTCTCTTCTATTCATTTGTTCTGTGCTCCTCTTTTGTTCTATTCAGCAGGCACATGCATTGAAGAAATTCCTTCATTACACATGCGGTATATCTTCGATAGATGTGTTGGCCACAGGTCTTATTTCAGCCAAATTACTAGGTGGTACAAAATAATTACCCTAACTATCCTTGTTTCTCGTATGTACAAGGCCAAAAGCAAACTGTCTTTATTTGCAGTCAGTCATAAGATGCCATGGCCCAAGAGCAGTGCCAATTTGATACAATTTTTCATTTTTGCACTGAGCTGCACGAAAACTTTAAAATTTGCTGAATATGTGCCATGTTGCACCAAAATGTCCAAACAGCCTCAAATTTTTCTCGCCTGTGCTAATTTCAGCGAGAAATAGATGCTACGTTGTCCATCTACAGTTTACGTTGCAAATCATTCCAACTACGTAGATCCTAACCCCGAACCATGGTGCAAGATATATTTTCATTAGTTCAGGGCACTCGCAAAACGCGATCGACCAGATAAAGTAACAAAGCCGTGCGCCTATTGGTATGCTGACTGCAGCAGATACTTATAGGCGGTGCGACGCAGCTTCAAGACAGAAATGCATTGCCGTAGCCACCATCGCTTCGCAAGAAGTACGAACTTCCTTGTCGGCAAACGCGGCTATGGCATGTTAGCAACTAGAGCAAGAAGCGCATACCGCCTTTTTCGTGTGCAAATAGAGTGGACGTGCTGCGAACGCCGGCGTTGGCGGCGACCACATTGTTCGTCATGGCACGTATCACATTTTCCTGTCTTGAAGTTGCGTTTGCGTGGCCCAGGCAATAGATAGTCGATGCTGTTGTCAGACCAACGGTCACGTCGTTATTACGTTATCTGGAAGAATGTGCCTTGCAAGCAAGCCGAGACTCTCATAATGAAAAAAAAGAGGGGGAGGGGAGAGGCGTAGCGGTGTTAGAAAACTTCTTGGCCTTGTTCTAACCAATGTAGAAAACTGCTTAAGCCACCTTCGCTGCAGCACATTGGTGCTGTGCGGAAAAGCTTATGCTTTGGAAGGGGCTGTTGGCACTATTCAAGGAACACTGCGCATTTCATTCAATCACTCATGCATGCATACCCAGCATAATTCTGAGCACTAGCATGATTCCCGAACTCTGAAGAAGTTACCAGCAGTCATTTGGAGCAGTGACTTTTCTGCCGCCCTATTGAAAAAAACTGTGCGCATTCTTTTTTTTTTTGTACACCCCAATGCCACACTTTTTCACGAATCCCCTGAATTTTATGGTCACCAGCTTGGTAGATCTGCATTTGAATTTATGTATTCTGTCAAAGGATTTGACCGACATGGCAAACACTAATGTGGACCTTTATCACTGTTTGCTCAGTAAGGTAACTCAAAATACTACTTTTATTGAAGTAGCAACACTCATCTTTACTCTGCACGATTTAGGTGGTGTTGAATGGTCTGTGCATACTTTTTTTTTATAAGTGTAAGCCTTCTTGGTACTGCTCCAAATTTGGTCTTTTTTTGAGAAAAAGTGAATGATTTTTCTTTCCTGTAGCTTGCTCCGATTTCACATTTATAGTGCTCCAAAAGTAAGATTTGGCTGCTCCAAAAATTCCTCCGCATTATTTTTCTTTTGTTGCACCACTGTAAGATGAAGAAGACAGAGAATGCGTTCACCGGCAGACTTACTGCTTTGCACGCGGTAGGCACAGCTTAGCTTTCTGGTCACGCGAAATCACCAAATAGAAAGCTTAAACAGCTCTGCTGTTAAATGTATCCTTGATGATGTAAGCTTGATGAGTAGCTAGAAGTTGTAAAAAAGTATGTAATCTGGTCACACAGTACTACACACTTCAATGCACAGGAACAAAATATGACAAAACAAAAGACATATTCTGACCCATGGATATATTGAAACTCAGTATTGTAAATATTAGTTTATGTAGGGTGTTTCCACAAAGGATTGTAACTTTTTTTTTTGAGCAGGGAAGAACATGTATACAGTGCTAATATACATCTCCTTGTAGCGTTTTGATGTTCTGTGGCTCTACTATCACGCATTGATCGCAATTTCTGCGCATCCACGGAATGTGCATTCTCAGCCATCCTTCTCATTTATTCATCCATGCTGTTTGCATCCTCACTCAAACTGTTAATAAATGGTCTTTACTTCATCATTATAATTATCATCATCAGCATGTGTGCACAGTGTTTTTCCTTTTTTGGGGGGGATCTGACGATTCTATGCAGCGTCCTCTACCCTATTGAGTTAATATGTACGGCTGGGTCCTGCAGATTGGCAGCTTTTTCAATTTTGTTCTTGTATACTGTCAAAACTACTTCTTTCTTACATTAGGGCCAACATTTTTAGGAAATCTTACTACTTGAAACACTGTAAAACAGTTAAATCTCCACACAAAATCTTGCTGGTTAGGCCAGATTTGGTCTCTCTCGACACCTGTTTATCCATTTAGTGCCCTAACTGTCTTGCGAAAATTGCGCAGTCATTTCTCGCTTTTTTTTTCTCATTCTAATTTTGAAAGTGTACTTCTTGTTTGGATTATGAATAACGCAACAGAACAATAACAGTGAAGCTGTTCGTAAATGTAGCTTTCCCTCAGTGCATTCCATAGTACTTGGACGCAACATACTGAAGTGTATTGTATGTATTTGAACTGATACCAAATAACAAACTGTGAAACACACATTTATAAATTTTATTAAAACTAGTGGCAGTGCTATTACAACAATGAAAATGTGTTCCTCCCCTCTTTGAGACTGTAGGTTGTGTCAGCTCATTGGAGCTCACCTCATGTCTTAAACTGGACACACATCTTTGCCAATTATGCTTCCAGAACTTACAGTGGTCAGCCCAGACAACTCATAGACTCCTTCTGCTCGTAGCAGGCCATGGTTTTTAGTAGCCACCACGTGGCATAGGTCTTTTCACAATCCATTGTTGTTACGGTGAAAGCCTTTAATGTCCCATACTCGCTGTGACTGGTGTTCGTCTAGTTCCCTAACACTGCGTCAGCTGTGGCATCTCTCCCTCACGCGAGAGAATAAATCAGCTTATGAGCGCTGAAGCGCAGATTATGTCTGCACAGTGCACAAAGCACAAGAATATAAATGCTGCAGTTTGCAGTAAAAATTCTAAAAAGTAACCATGCACACATTCTGTTCGTGTGCCATTCCACCTGGAGCATCAAAAAAAAGACATTGGCAATATCAGTTCAATGGCTTCAAGCTTTCGACGAACACAGTTTGGAATTTACAAAGTGTTATAACCGGCCCCCGCGGTTGAGCCGCGCCCCGAAATGCACGAACAGAGTGGCCAGGGCAAAAAGCGAGCGTTTATTGTCCGGCTTGGGTTTTTATAAGAACGAAAGGTAAGGGAAGGGGAAGAGTTAGATAAGATAGAAGGCGCGCGCAGCGTAGACTGGCAGCGCTTGTTTAGCGGTGGCGAACAGTTCGTGGCACAAAGTGTCCTTCAACTTTTTCACCTCCCTCCAGCAACCTTTGAACCTACCACAGACTAGGAAGTTATAGTTCAGTGGGCTTTTAATTCACATGGCGTAGCGCACCACGGCAGGGACAGAGAAGAAGGACACACACACACAGCGCTATGTGTGCGTCTCTCTTCTCTGCCCCTGTCGTAGTGTGCTATGCCATATGAATTATAAACCCCAACCAACTAGCCCTACTATGTGCCTTGGTGGGACAACAAGCTTAGCGGAACAGCAGGATCGAAATGCGTATGCGAAGTATGCTAAAAGACCTGTGTAACATGTACCGTACGTGCATTATTTTTCAGGTTTTGCGTTACCGTGTTTGCATGGTTTACGTAGTGCACTTAAAACAAGGCAACGGTTTCGGACCCCTGCTTTGAACTGGGTTTAGTGTTGGTGGGGATGGATCCATTTCTTTCGTAGCTGACTGTGCAAAATGGCTTCGCTTGCCTTCAGGTAACTTCGATGACTTATTGTTACAGACAACTTAGCCTAGTTTTTGAGATTGCTTCCCATTTTGAACGTCCCTAGGCCAAACTAGAAGATCGGTGTAAACAAATCTGCAAGAGAAAAATTGTGTGCTTCTTCTGATGCGTGGCTCATATTTATTTACTATTAATATTTCTAAATTTTTAAAAAGAAAAATTTGATGGATCTCAAGTACCGTAGGAATTGATATCATGCAAAGTGTGTGGAGGAAAGGTGACTGTATTGTATTTTTTTTTTTGTTGAGCAAAACATTACAAAGTGGCGTTAAACATTTCTGCAAAAATTATTCACACAGACAGGTATGTTGAACAGTCTCATATGTTTCATATAAGCAGTTGTTTACACTTGTGTAATGATGCTAAGATCGACATAAGTATGAGCAACACCATAAACAGCAAGCTGAAATGTAGCTTGTGTGCTTGCAAAGATGGTATTCCCAGATAGTGCTACGTAGACCAACTTCAGTGAATGGCACTTAGCTCCAGTTGTCGCAAAACCGACGTGACACCTGTATAATTGGAGCACATATGTAATGTGATGTAATGTGTAAAATTATATGGGCAGCGCTGCAACCACAATTGAAACTTCATCAGCATTACACCTGCATAAGGTCCTCTTCCAAAGGAGTTCCAAGACCTGGCATTGTTGCACGGTAGAATACTCGATTGCCATAAAAAATGCTTGAGCTCAATTCCTGCTGGGACCATATCATTTATTCTTTGCATTCGTTGAGCCAACCCTGCTGATGTCAGTTTTCCTTAATGCTCGCGCATTTGATTTTACATTGTCTGTTCTCGTAGTTATTTGGTAGATCTAAATTGTCAGACACCTGTGGTGCATACCTGCATACTGCGGCCTATGACATACAGGCATGTGCCACACGTGTCTGGAAGAAAGGATTTGACATCATACGCGATGGGAGTGCCGCATTATTCATGTCGTGACCAAGCAGTCACAGTCCCGAAGCCCTCCTACTCTCCCACAATGATTTAAGTTAAGGAGGTGCTCACGAGAGCACCCAGATGTAGCCAGCTCAATGGATAGATACGTAGATAGTACATAGATACTTAGATAAAAATGTTCAAAGTGTCTGCAACACACAAGGAAATGTTTCGCATTTAAAGGTAGTAATATTGCTGCACGTTGGCACACAGGCGAGAATTCTTAGTTATTTTCTTTTCACTCTTTTTAATCCATTCACCCTCCGCTAGGTGACGCCACTATCCCAGCTTGGGCAGGGAAATGCTATCTTGCTAATCTATAATGCACTGTCTGGAAAGAATGTTTGCGCATGGTAGCACTATTAGCTTAACCCCCGCTATCACGCTAATACTAATCTGTTAACTGTCTACTAACTGTTGAATAGGGCTCTCCTCCATCTTGTGGTTTCACTAAAAAAGCATTCAGGGGTTACGCACGTGTAAGCAAATTCAACCTAACGCTGCCATATGTTAATCATAAAGGTTTGCTGGAAGCCTTAATAGAGGAGGCCTAACAGTGTCCTCTCTCCTGTGCTGTAGCCCACATCACAAAGAAAAGAAAGCTTGCTTGGGCAGACTTCCTGATTTATTATGAGTTGAACGTATATTTAAACTTGCATACTTTACTGCAGCTGCCGTACAGGCTGTTTCACGCTTACAGAAAAACTCGGAGTGCATAGCATCGTGATGGGGCTAGTGCTGCAGTCAGGTGGGGGCAGCGCCGCACGCATGTGCAGACACTTGAGTACACACAAACCCTGTCATGTGCTACGGTGACATGTACTAGCCGCATATTGGTAAAGCGTCCTGCCCAGGGGGAGAAGGTATGAAACTATGCCTAGGAACAGAACGCAGGAAGTGAGGGGACAGTAAGAGTGCAGTCTAACAACTGATTTATTGGAACCTCTTTGGAACCTCTTTCTCATAACAGCTTTTCATGCTGGCTAAGGTTACCGACTGCACAAAAGATGAAAGGGCAGGTGAAACCATCAAAGCCTTGCATAATAATACAATATGGGCCTGGTAAGTGTGTTACTAAGGCATTATTTACCTGTACAAGAAAGAACTTGACTTTCTTGGTGTTAAATTGTTATCTTAGGATATATGGCTGTGAATGACTCTTGCGCATGCGTTCTTACTGTTGTGAGAAAGAGGGATTAATTCAATAAATAAATATTTAGACTGTGCTCGCGCTGTCTACTTCTTTCTTTTGTCCAGTTCTTAGCCGTAGTTTTATGCTTTTATTACCATGTCTTTATCAACTAGCCCCACCACTGTGTGCATCTTAGGGAAAATCTGCAGATTTTGTTGTTGCTGTTGGGATCAAGTTGGTAATCTTTACTAAAAGTCGTGCGACAATAACCTCTGTGTTTTAATGGGGAAAATGGGGTTCTCCGAACTACTTTTGACAGTGTGCTTCATTTTTTTTTTGTTGAAGAGCCAGGTTACAGAAAGTTGGCTCATGAAATCGATTCTTTTCTGTTCTACTGAAATATGCAGCATAAAAAAAGATGCATAAAATTGTACGCACGGTGTGCTCAATCTCTAAGCACTGCTCATAAAGGCAGCACGCTTCCTGACAATGCGACCAGTGCTTGCCATCGTAGCAATTGGCACTGTTCAGCACAGCACCTGCCGGTGCTCGATGCAGTGCTATGCGCTCTGTGTTCCCCTATGTGTGAAACAGCCTGTATACAGAGGTTCGTTGTTCAAGAGAACAGCATAGTACTGTGTTCAGATTAAGCTGGTCTGTACGTAACTTGGTTACACAAACACCGAAACAGCTTCGCAAAAACTGAGAACATGTATGTGACAACATGTGGCACTATATTTGCATTTTAGTTGGAACGTTTTCAGGGTTGATTCTTGTTACCTCAGTGGAGCTTACATGAGTCGTTGACAAAACAAGAACTACTAGGTTAAACTTCCGTCCTTACCCATCAGGCTTTCTCTAGTGTTCACGGCTATTCTGTAGCTTTATGCCAAATTCACACATTGTCGTCATATTTTTCTTTCCATCTAACAGAGGAAGTACAGGCGGAAGACATGCTGCCTGCTTGTCCTGGTGGTTGTGGGGGCTGCCGTGTTAGCCCTGGTCATCTATTTCTCCATCAAGTAGTCCCACCAACCAAGCCCGGCCTTTGCTAGTCCTCACACTGTGCAACGTGACGAGGCCGTTTTTCAAACATATCCTGCAGTAATATGAGTGAAACTTACCCAGCAGACACCTTCTTGGCGCAGACCACGAGGTCTATTGAGTTTCACTCGTGGTGTCTCTTCAGCAGACACCTTCTTGGCGCAGACCACGAGGTCTATTGAGTTTCACTCGTGGTGTCTCTTGTTCAGGGAAGATGGAAGCTGGACGAGCTTTTGTTGTGTGGCCCGTCTACCTGTCTGGAGTCTTTGCGAGCATCTCAAGCTGTCTCTTCCTTTAATAGTCCAGTTCACTGATGTAGCAGCTTTTGTTTTTCATCGACAGCAGGAAACCTTAAGATCATAGCCAAGAAAGAGTTTTTTGTTTATTCAGTTTGGGGATGAGCTAGTTCCAACATTTGGCTGTGATGAAACAAAATTCACGCTTTCAGCACTTCTAACAATTGGAGACCTCGCGAAGGAAAGTTAACGTGGATCATAGCATGCGCTATCTTTATGAAGAAAGCACGCTTATGTCGGGTAGCCCCAGGTAAGCCTATGAAGAAAGGTTCTCTGAGCAGTGTTTTACTGTAGCTACACCTGCTTTCGATGACAAGCGCAGTGTTGAGCCACCAATGCGTTGGTCATTTGGGTGCCGAATTTCTTCGTTTAGGATGGATGTCTCACTTGGTTCTGATTTTTCGGGACCAACGTTTTGTTACGCAGCTCAGGGACACTTCTCTGCATAAGTTACTGTTACCTCTGCAAAAGTCTGCACGCCTTTCCAGTAGCGTGTCACTCTGACATCAAACCTAACCAGAAGCTTGGTCTGATTGTTCCAATAATATTATTTATATAGGCTTCTTTTGTTTGGATGTGAGTGGCCACTATTTTCAACAACCAAGTGATGCTTAGTGGGAGAATACGTTGCAAGCTGGACACTACACGATAGTGCCATATCAAACGAAACGCTCAAGACTGGTCATCATTACTCCAGAGCTGTTACCCCAAAAATGCCTTATTTGGTTCAACAAAAGCTGACTGAAAACAGAAAATATGGTGGCTTGCTGTTCGCTTGTTCTTTACTTTTGCTGTGCATGGTAGTTGCAGGTAAGGCAAATGGGCCACAAGGAACATTAAGGTTGTCCAAGTAAAAAAAAAAAAGAAAGAGGACTGCACGGATGAAGAAATTAATGAAAAAGTAGACATGACAGAAAAGAAGGCTTGCAAATACAGACCCAAGACAACACAAATGCAATGTATTGTGTGTTTTCTGAAACTTTGTGTGTGTGTTTGCACACCGTGTAGACTAGTTCCATTCTTTCTATCTGAGGAAGTAGACACCAAAAAACAGCTGTTAGACTTTTCTTATTGTAAGAATCCATGATTTAATAACTAGGAATTAGTGAACAAAAAGCTGCAAAAATACAACTGTATGATGCAAAAAAAAAATAGGGGGTAGGGGAAAATACACACGATACTGTAAATATGTGCTTCAAAAATGCAAGACCTTTATTTTTGCAAAGCCTCAAAGGCTGACTGATGCACACTTAATTACTTTGTTGGGCATTATTGTACTTACCATAATTGCCACAATTGCAATACTGCAGGATTTATGGGTAGTACGTAATAGGTGGGATAGCATGCAGAAAGCTGTGAAACCCCGCTCCAGTCACGATGAGAAGCAAAACAATCATAGCTGAAGGAATCGAGCTGTGTGCTATCTATGGTTAAGTTGTTAGTAAACGCATCCGTATACTTATGTAGAACTAATTTTTTACATGCGCAAAGCAGTGTGGACACAGCACTGAGTGATCTATAAAAAAATTTTTTTTCGAGACTTTGACCTTTCTGTTGACTGGTGCCTGTATGATGTAAATATAAAATAAAAGAAGAATTTACCCTCTAGTTACATGAAGTTGTGCAAGTAAAATACGGCTATTGATCAGTGTAGTTGGCCCGAGAGGTTTCACTTTGCAAACTTGTACTTATAATGCTGAATGCAACCTCATTGATGTGTAATTCCTTTCCATTACCTTCTCCCAGAGGCCTGTCGAGTGTTTGCTGCAGCTTAATATTGTCTCTTGTGTTTGTATCTTTCTTTTTCTTTTCATGCATAGAACCTAAGCCTTTGTTCCAAAGTCCTTGTTGCATATGTCTCACAATAGTTACACAAAGACTGATATGTGAGCTACCATCCTTCTTTCTTTTTAATTAACAATATACTACTGGTGCATGTTGTTCAGTATAGGTTGTGTGCTGTATAATAAAGAGACTTGTTATTTTACATTTGCCACAACATGATCATTAATGTGCTTTTTTTGTTTTTTGTTAGCAACTACATACTCATATTCAGAGTAAATACCACATTAGTTCCTGTAACAAAAAATGAAGTCGGTCATAAGTTGTACATGGTAAAACTGTAATCATAGTCAAAATTTATTAATTTTCATAAAGTCAAGTTATTGGAATTCAGTTTACAGGAAAAGATCCCAGAGTCGGAGACTGCATTAGGACCTCCTGTACAGGGTAAACATGGAGAAAAATTGGACGGTTTCATCAATGACAGGAAGGGAGAAAAAAATTGCCATGTGCATTTTGAGATCAATATCACAGTGCTCTGAAAAAGCTCAGGTATAGTGGGACATACATTTGAACAGTCTGGAAGCTCAAAAAACAGTGAAAATGGTGAAATGAGGTTCTGCTCAATTCACATGACATGCCGATGGCAAGACTTTGGTAATTCATGCCAGCAGCTGCCTTCTTTGTAGTTAAAGATGGTGGGATGCAGCTAGATTATCGAGAATTCTGCATCACATATTAGGTTTGGTAGCACACTCTGCCCGGGTAGGTTCACATGCACTCAGGGCATTCAGGTAGTCACCGTACACCTCTGTGCAGTTGAATCACTTCGTGCAGCGTGGATTCTGCTGTGGCTTGAGTGCGCCACAGTGGCGATCATGTGTGATATCAAACAGGGCAACTTCGTCATAGTGGACATCTACTGCAATGTGTTGAATGCTTGATTGTGAAATGCTTGAGGTAATATGGACCAGTATAAAAGGCTCTTTTGGCTGTTTTGCCAGCTTATTAACACTTCAATTTCACACAAGGTGGCCTTTTACTCTTTCTTTTGTTTAACACCACATTTCGCTCTTGACTCAGGACAGTTATTGAGAATGTCCTGTGGCTCTGCTAATGCAGTATAATATGGGGCATTCTACAGAACTGCGGACAGAGCTTTAGTCTCTATACGTACTTGAAGAGAGCGTTGCCTTCTATTATGTGTTAAAACAGAAATCTGTGGCAGGACACTTCGTGATCTTCTATTATGTGTTAAAACGAACATCTGTGGCAGGACTCATAGACTGTCTTTGTATATTCTAATAACATGTCATTGCTTTATTTTTTAAATGTTTTTAAACCCTACTTGTGACCATACTCCTCAATTATTGCTTGCTAAATGTGATTAACAGCAATGCTCTGTTTGGGTGGACAATCAAGGCAATTCAAATCTTCAGAACAAATTTAAACTTATAGAGTACTTTGTTAAATTTTGGAAGCTTTTGCACAAATAAACATTTACTGTGAGAAATTACATTTGCATATTATCCCGTGCTGGATGATTCAATTAAAAATGCTTTCAACAATACCTTGCCACAAACGTTTGTTTGAACATTTTGAACATACAAAAAATGTGTACTCACCATTCAACTTATTTTCAGGTGTTTTCTAAAAATTTAATTTTCCCTAAAGGTTCGTGCAAAAGCTCCTTGGGATCAAATAAAGTTCTTTGTCTGTCTGTCCTTGAAGAAAGATCTAACTTCCAAGTTTCATCTACAGTCAATCGCTTGTAAGCGTGGTAGATAATTGAGTCCACAGTTTATGCAAGTAGGCCAAGTGGATGCTGCCCTTGGCAGGCTAAAGGCAAAATTCATCGGGAACATGTGTTGCCACCATCACACACATACTAATTGTGAAATTGAATGAATGTACCACAAAAATTGCCCCAGTGCAGATTTTACAATGGCCTGGCCTTGGCTTATTATAAAATGGGGAAATTCACCATCAATGTAACCATATTTTTGACTATATTCCTCAAATACTTTTTTATAAATGCAAATAAATGCTCCGGCTTCATTCTGTGTGGACCCTTGGCACCACAACGTGAGATGCAAAATGCTTTAATGCAGGTAGTTCATGTAGGTTTAGTTCATATTTGGAGGGGCCCCCCGCAACACTTCTTCAGCATTGTGAAAAAACAAGTTCCCTGTCTGTCATCACGACTGTCGTCAATATTATGTATTTATTCACAGACTGCTATCAACCTTTTGTGAGGAAAGTTGTTACAGGAGTGGGGACAGGTTGACAGCTTTGCCGCGAAGGCGAAACAGTGAATGCGATAGCAACAAATTAGAAGGGTACGCGCATAATGGCAAGCAGATCGAAACGTGCCCCGCGTTTCTCACGCACAAATCACGCACGAAACGTACTCGCAAGTACAGATCAACACACATAGGCGTCTCACTTGTTACTTCACAGTGTCTAAAAAACGTGCTTTTTTTCGCAATTGGAGAATGTACGACGATTGCAGGGAAATTTGTGCGCCAAGTAACTACAACAGAATCGTTCCGGTGAAAGCCAAAAGCCACCTAAGACGCATGTCCTCTCCGCGGGGCAAAGTACGCGCGTAAGATGAGAGTGCGTGCTGCCGCGTCGTGGCGATTTGGCGACGCGCGCTCATTGCGCCATCTTGGTAATGCTGAAAACATGATATCCCCCCCCCCCCCCGGAGACGCGTGTCACCAGCGGTAAATGGTAGATATAAATAGCTTGCCGTTTGAACGTCGAGGGACGTGCTCCTCTGGGGCTCAGTGATTAACGCCTGGCACTTATGGTTCAGAGGTCGCAAGATCGATTCCTCGCGCCAGTCTTTTTCTGTATAGTTTTTTTGTTGCGTATTCATGTATCGTATTTACTCGCGTAATTTGCGCACCTTTTTTTCGCGATTTTGGGGCCCCGAGAAGGAGATGCGCAAATTACGCGGCGATTTTGCGAGCACACATGAAATATTGTGTCACAGTCTTAACGCGCGTAGTATATGCATTTAAAAAAGAAGAAGTAAATAGGAGGACAAACGAATTGTACTTGTTAATTTTGAAAGAATTAGCGCGTACTTTAACCAGTCTGATCCGGTCACGCACGGTGTAGCAAGAATCACTGATTGCGAAGTCCGATCGAGAATAATCGCAGCTGCCGCTGCCATCCCCCCTCCCCTTCCACCCGAAGCGCATCGTCCTCGGTTCCGTCAAGGGCATTCGAACGCCCCATTGTCTTGAAGCTCTTTCGACAATGCTGGGAGAAACTAGCTCCCACGACACGATGATACCGGTACTAAGCATCCGCACATAAGTGAAAATGGTTCCTTCAATATGGCAGGAAACCATAGGCGTATCAGCCATGGGGGGGGGGGGGGGGGTGCGCAAGCTTTTCCACTGAAAAAAGTGGAACCACTCTTAGCTGCACGCTGGGGAAACCAAGAACTAAGGCGTAGTTTTAGGGGCGAAGCTCCTTATAACGGCACCTGTTCGTCCCTCGTAGCCGTTGCAGTGTGTAACGAGTATAACATTTTGACCTCCAAGGTGGTGCCAGTGACAGATTTCTTCTCTGAGTTGTTGAACAATAAAAAATAGTGCTCAATGTACACGCTAATGGCTGCTAATGGGGAATGAAAGACAGGAGCATTCGGCTTTTTGTTAACGCGCACGCTACGATCCCATTAGCAGCCATTGGCATGTACATTGAGCACTATCTGACAAGAAAGGGTTGCTACGTTATACTCGCTGGGTGCAACCTCCTTAGTTTTAGAAAGGTTTAGCGAGCGTTGAGCCGCAGTGCCATAAATACAATGAACTAGTATATACCTTGAACACGAGGTGGTTAAATGTGGGAAGTAGATACGAGGCGCAAGCCGTAAGAAAGTAAAAGCCGAATTCTCCTGTCTCTCATTTCCCATCAGCAGCCATTAGCATGTACATTAGGCACTATATATCTGACAGGAAAATGTTGCTACGTTATACTTGCTGGGCGTAACGTCCGTGGTTTTAGAAAGGTTTAGCGAGTGTTGGGCTGCAGTGCCATGAATACAGTGAATAGTATATACCATGAATTCGAGGTGGTTAAAAGTGGGAAGTAGACCCGAAGTGCATCCGTAAGAAAGTGTGCGTGTGCCACCTCTCGTTTAGTCCTCGGAATGTCCGCTGGATGGCAGTGCTTCTATATGAGGAATATATGATGAAAAGATGCGAGATGGTGGTACTTGGAGTGTTGAATAGATGGACGAATGGACACACAGACAGATGCATGAATAGACGCATGAACGGACGCAGGGGTGGATGCATGGACGAACGCAGGGATGGACGCGTGAACAGACGCATGCACGGACGGGCGGATGGACGCATGGATGGTCACACCGACGGACGCATGAACAGACGGAAGCATGAACGAATGGACGGACAAATGCTTCGCCCCACTCTCCATCATTCACTCTGTGGATATGCTGCCAATTTTTTTTCATCACAACGGTAAGCACTCAATATGTTCTTACGGAAGAATTAAATTTTTTGAGGCTATGTTATAACATAGTGAAATTTTGTCAACATTGCCTCTGTGGCCATTTTCCTCGTAGGTTCTTATATATACGCATTTACTCGCATAATTCTCGCACTTTTTTTGGCGGAAAACTGATCCAAAGTTGGGGGAGGCAAGAATCACGCGGGGAAACTTTTCACGAAAACGTACAGAGCGAAAAAGAAAACGAAGTTGCCGCAAATCGAGATTCTCAAACAAGCAACTGACAGCAAGGTTTAAGAAGTACTAATTAAAATTTACCTCAACAATAAAAGCTGAGGTTCAACACAAGGCAAGATTTATTTGAGACACAAAAAGTGCAAACAAATAGTCGAGAATTAGAATACCAAACGCAAAGCTCATGGGCGTTGCAGGCGTAGCGGTAGCGTTCGTCACTCAACAGGAGCCCTCAAAAGGTAAGCGTAGGATGCCAGTATTGGGATGATGGCTATTTAACAGAATCGTCTGAGTTTCCTTCTGAAGAAATAAAGTTTACCATCAATCCCAGTCTTAGGCACACGACAGGCCATACGCGTCTTGGTAGCTTTCAGCTGCCGTCACCACTTGCGAACACAAAACTCGACTCCGAAGGGCCTACCAGAGGCCCTGTTGCCATTGTTTAGTGCGTGATCAATCACTTTCAACTTGAAAGCAGCCGTGTAGCTTCAGTATCG